TATGGAACCAGATAACAGGTGAGCCCTTTAGGTAAATTTAAAATAATAATAATGTAGTCATTGAAATAAGAAGAAATCATACTTGTAGACGTGAAAATTGAAATAAATTAAAGGGTAAAATACCCTGACCTCCCTTGAGGTTTGGCTATATTACCCATGGTTGAAACTTTTTGAAAAAATGTGGTGAACCTCCCTTGAAGTTTTGCACAATCACTCTGACCACCCTTGATGTCAATCAGGCATTAAGTCCGTTAGTAGAATATTTTCATAGTACTGAAAATACCCTTACATAAAGAAAAATTACTTAAATGTCCTTATAAACTATAATACATAACCATTTGACCTAATTTTTGATTGGACAAAATACCCTTGCTTATAAGCATATAATCTAGCTAAATAATTTAATTAATTCTTTTAATTTGTAACAATAATATAATTTATTTAATCTAATATTTGTGAAAATATAATGATATTATATTATATATACTAATTATATATAGGATTTGTTTAATTTTAAGATCTCGTGTACAAGTATTAAATCTCAATACTCAGCTCAGTTTAAGATCTTGTCTATTGTACATCTAACCATCTCATAAAATTTAACATTTAGCATGACTCTTGTTGAAACGATCCACCAAAAATATACATTTTGTTCAAACAATTTCAAAATGCCACACAATCAGTTGAACAATTCTACCAGAATTATCATGTATATATATATGATTTGTTTTCGTTTAATACTCATATTCATATATATAGAATATAGAATATAGATATGGGTAACTTACTGAATATCTACCACCGACACCACCACCAACTCCCTCCGCTATCACCCCCTTCTCCTCAATTATATATATCTCTCTCTCCTACACCACCACCATACCCCACCACCTTTCCCTTTCTCCTCCACCATTCCCTCTCTCCTCCACCATCTATTTGTTCATCCTTTTAAGGCGGTGGAGAATGGAGCGGGCGGTCAATTGTGGTAGTGGAGGGGTGGTACCTTGGAGTAGGGAGTGATTAATTGCTGTGTTATCGGAGGCAGCAAAATAAGAAAGATGATGGGGTTCGGTACTGACTGTATGGATGAAGGTGGCAAAGGAAGAAATGGTTCCATGGACGAAGACGAAACCCAAACGGGTCAAACCCTATTTTTCAAATGGCTATTGCGGATTTCATTAAAATTTCTGGTTTTTGTTTTGAGTTGTTACCAAAATGGTGGATTCTACGAAGAAGAATAGATTGATTTGTTACCAAAATCAAATATCTTCTGTTACAAAACTATATGTGTGTGTGTGTGTGTGTGTGTGTAATATACATACACATAAAGGAAAAAGAAGAGAGGGGGCAGTGGAGAGAGGGGGTGGGGAATGGTAGAGAGAGATGGAATGTGGGCAGGAAGTGGTGGCGGCGGTGGCGATTGGTGGTCAAGTACACAAAGAGAGTAAGGGCAATTTTGTTATCACCAACATGATGCGTCAAGCGTCCAATAGTTGCACAATAGATAAGGATAGTTAGGTAATTTAACTACTATCGGTAACCACTCTAATGGCATTAACTCTAATAGGCAGTGTCAGAGAGATTTCTCAAATATTTTCATCCATGAGTAATTTAGCCAGACCTCAGGGGAAGTCCCAGTAATTTACCCTAATGTTGTGCTTGGGAGCACCAAATCGGCGCCTTAAAAAAAATCTTTGAGCTAAATGTTCAACAATTCCAAATCCAAGGTGCCGATTCGGTGCTCCCAACTGTAGCATAAATTATAATAGGAATCAACACAACTATTTAAGAAACCAACTCTCTAGCATCTCAAAATAAATTTCATGTTAAAAAAAGTTGGTTACCATACTATCCAAAAAGACCAAAAAAATTGCTAAGCATTTGCAAGGATTATACATCTAAAGATCACAAATACAAGTTAAAAGGAACATGAATTCAGAACAAAAAACTTGGTTGATTGGCTTCTTTATTAAGTACAAATATTTCAAACAAAAAATCAGATTTTAAAATTCTCTTGTTCAGTTTTTCTTAACCTATAAAATTATATAAAGTAACACGGTTCTTAGTTTTCAAATGCGTCCACAAAAAAAAAAAAATCCATATTTTAACTTTTAACAAATTGCCGCGTCGCCGTGTCTATATCTTGTCATATCCCTATCTGTGCTTCTTAGATTGCAATTAATGAATACTAAAACTTTGTTACTAACAAGTGATATTACATTTGACACTACATTACCTCCTCTAAGCAAGTCTCTTGGCAGATTTCTCCAAGAATCATAAGAATTTGAACTCTTGCTTCTTATGTATTGATTTACCAGCACTATTAGCCTCTATTATATTTGATCAAACCAACTAGTGATATTACATTTGACACTTTCTTAAATTTTAACAAATTGCCGCGTCGCCGTGTCTGTATCTTGTCATATCCCTATCTGTGCTACTCAGATTCCAATTAATGAAGACTAAAACTTTGTTACTAACAAGTGATATTACATTTGACACTATATTACCTCCTCTAAGCAAGTCTCTTGGCAGATTTCTCCAAGAGTCATAAGAAGTTGAACTCTTGCTTCTAATGTATTGATTTACCAGCACTATTAGCCTCTATTATATTTGATCAAACCAACTAATGATATTACATTTGACACTTTATTACATGAACCAGATCTGCACAACAAACCTGAAAGTCTATAAGCAGCTTTGACTCTTATCATAGATTACACCCTTTCTATACCATCGAACCAATATTAGTTTCAAGGAAAAAAGCTCAATCATTTCGTTTTTCGGATGACCTTTGGTGTGGAGATTGTACTTTAGCATGTTCATTTCCAAGATTGTTTAGGATTGCTGTTGATAGGCATGCCTTGGTCGCTGACTGCTATAGGCTTGATAGCGGGAGATTGACATGGGATCTGCATTTCTTAAGGTCTTTTCAAGATTGGGAGTTGGACGACGTTTATGGATTTTTGGAATGTTTATATTGTCTTGAGATTCGTCGCGCAGGTAGGGATTCTCTTGTTTGAGTGCCTTCCTCTCGGGGTAGTTTCGAAGTGAGATCCTTTTTTCGATGTCTTTCGGATTCTGTCGGGGCTACTTTTCTGTGGAAGGCATGTGGCGTTCCAAGGTGCCGCTCAAAGCCTCAAAGTGGCGTTCATTGCTTGGACAATGGTGTGGGCCAAGATTTTGACGCGTGATAATTTGAAGCGGCGAAAACAAATCACAGTTGGTGCTGCATGTGCAAGTGTAATGGAGAGTCGATTGATCATCTTCTTTTGCACTGTCCAGTGGCTTTTGATTGTTGGAACCTTTTGTTGGGTATCTTTGGGGTTTCGTGGGTATACCAAGATCTGCGAGAGAATTGATGGACGCTTGGAGAGGGTGCTACGTGGGATCACAAGCTCATGATTATTGGAGGATGGCTAGGGCTGCAACTCGGGTGGACCCAACCGAAATAACCCGAGCCCAGTTTGAAATTTTGTGGGTTTGAGCAATGTTTTTCTAATTTCAGTTTAGGCCTTGGCTAAATATTTTGAGCCCGAATTCAATTCGGCCCGGGCTTGGATTGATGTGCGATGGAGCCCGAAGCCCAAACTGAGCCCCGAAATATTATATATATTTATAACTAGACTTAAATCACAAAAGCATTGCAACCAAGTTGGTAGTGTGTTTGGGATTTATGCCGAAGGTTTCAAGTTCAAGTTCTGGGAGCAGCATAAATTCTTTTATTTTTTACACAAATTTTTCTGGGACGGGCTAATGGTGCGGGCTCGGACTGGACTAGTTAAGTGTAGGCTGCTCGGGCTGGGCTTGGGCTGAAAGTTTTCTATATGGGTTAAGCCCGAGTTAAGTGTCAAACCCGCCTGATTTGCAGCCCTAAGGATGGCACCTTTGTACTTATGGTGGTGTCTGTGGAGGAAGCAGAACGATAGATCATTTGAAGGAGAGGATTCTTCGATTGTTGTTATTAAATCTTTCCTTATTAGTTCTTTATGTTGTTGGGTTCGGGCAGACATTGTTCCTTCCCTAAGGAGACGATTGAGTTTCTGAGTTCCTTGGGGCCTTAGGTTCCCTGTGCCTTTTTTGTTGTATTTGGGACGTGTTCCCCTTTTGAAGGCTTTTATGAATTGTCTTAATTATCAAAAAAATAATAATAGCTCGATCAAAAGGATCCTTGTATGTAACTTTCATCAAGGAGAGCAACATTAAAATAGAATTAGCACTCCCTACAACGAACAACTACTTCAATCACTGATATATTTTCCTTGATGGGAACACTTGCGTGTTTAGACAGCACCAGTACTTTGAAGATGTCTGGAATAAAATTCTATGTTGGGTGCCAAGCAAATAAAAGAACACATGAAAGCTTAAATGTAGTACAGTTGAAGTACCAGCAGTCACATTCCAAGTTTTCTTTTCCTCTCTCTAACCCTTAAACAAATCATTGCAGATGATACATTACAACCTAGATTGAAAAAAGAAACTTAACGCTCTGAATCACACAACACAACGGCTAGTTGACTACTTCGGACAAATCTCAAACATCAGCCATCACCACCCATGAATATAAAGCAAATAAACCAAAAAGACATCAAATGCGGACCTAACATCACCTTACCCTTCCTACAAACTCCACATATATAGCACCATAGCAAAACACTTAAAGCTTTGAGTATAAATAAATGAAAATTAGATTTTGAGTATTGGACTACTTGAGATTGCATTCCTTTACTAAAGGGACTCGAGCAAAAATGACTCATTTCCTTCTTCTTTTTCTTTTATAATTGAACCCAAAGATCGCTGCGTCAATCATTAGTTTATTTTCTTTCCATTGCTGATTTTTCTTTTACTTTTTTGTTTTCTCATAAACCAAGCATAAACCCTAATCATTTAATTGCCCAACAAAGGAATCACCACTCAACAAATTCAAATCAAATCAAATCACGTAATCACACATATAAACAGAACCGAGAGAGAAATTAGGGTTTGGTTTCGATGGAAACCTGGGCCTTGTCAGCGAGCTGAACGACGAGACGCCCGACGGGAAGGGGAGACTCGTAAGTATAGCTGTAATTGATGCATTCGGATCGCATGTAGCGGGAGAGGACTCGGCCGTCGGCGGTGAGGCCAGAGATAGCGACGCCGATGTGGTCATCGGCCTTGAAGATCTTCTTCTGGTGGGACGCGAGCTCCGAGTTGGCCTTGTTCACACACGCCAACACCACGTGAGTCTTCGATCGGAGACCGATCGCCGCCGAACCTTGCTTCACCGCCTCCATCGCATACTCCACTTGGAAGAGCCGACCCGCCGGACTCCATGTCGTCACGTCTGTGTCGTACTGGTTCCTGAACATATTTACCGATCTCTTTCTCTCTCCCTCTCTAAATATATATATATGTATCTATATATATTTCACTCTGTCTATATATGTATACTTGTGTCTCTTTCTAAAAAGAAGAAGCTTTTCTTCTTCTTCAAGACTGAAGAGTGAAAACGAAAGAGCAAATACAAATTTGTGAATGTTATCAGTGTGGTTTCGGGTTTTTGTTTTGGGTGGGGCAATGATGTGGAAGATCCGGTGATCGATAAATCCACGATGGATATGTTTTGAATTTGACCAAAATTGAAAACGAATGCTGGATGTTGCTTTGAAAATGTTACCCGTATTACAATGAGTCTGATTATTTCGATAGTGTTAAAAGAAAAATAAAAAGAAAAAAAATCAATCAATATAGATTTTGAGGTCAAGTTGAGTTTGTAACTTTCAAAACAATTTTCAAAAATAATTTGTAACAATGAGTCTGATTGTTTCGATAATGTTAAAAGAAAAATAAAAAGAAAAAAAATCAATGGATATAGATTTTGAGGTCAAGTTGAGTTTGTAACTTTCAAAACAATTTTCAAAAATAATTTTTAAAGAATTAAAATAAAAATAATTGAACTTTTTTAATTTGAAGATCTAATTAGTTGAAAAAATTATAAAATAATTTTGAGAGAAAAAAAAATTTTTAAAAATCTGTTTGGTTATATATATGCAATAGTTTTCCAACTAAAAAAATTGACACATTTACTCCTCTACTTATTTACATTTACTATGTTAAGTTGTTTACCACTAGCAATATTTATTAGTTAAGTGAAGGTGCATTACTAATTTCTTAATAAAAGATTCATTAAAGTTCTTACATTTTATTATTCAATTCTAAAAGACATGATCTGGTTTGACATTTTTAGATTTGTGACTACATTATTTTTATTATTTCAATTGCAAAATGTTGCACAGCTTAAAAAAGATGAAAAAGAATAATTAGGGCAACTATTATTGTAGATTGCATTATAAAATTGTTGTATGTAGTTCTTCACAAATTACGGAGTATAGGAGACTTTCACATCTCCTCCATAATAGTAGCCAATAGGCACGTGTACAATATGGGTCAAGTATAAAAAAATATCCTATAGTATATTTACAATACATATTACATTCCCCCGTACAAAAAAATCCCTAAACTATGATATTTGTGCAAATAGATCCTATATATAAAAATTGGACTAAAATGTCCTTAACAACACATTTTATATAATATATATAAAAAAATATTTTGTGAAATGACTAAAAAGCCCTTCTCCTTCTTCATCACCACAGTCTGTCGCCGCCGTTCGCCTGGCTCACCATCACTAAAACCCAAACAACCCTACCTGATTTGAACCCCAATGAATAATATAGCAAATCCCATAACGGCATTGATCCGGTGGCGCCGTTGGCGTGCGCCAACCTCCCGCTTCTCATCAACCTCAACTACCGCGGCCGCCTCGATTGCATGACTGTTCAGATCAACGCCAACGCCGTCGTCTTGGCGGCATACAAATCAGCGAAGTGAGGAATTGTGTCGTCGTACGAGGCTCTTAGGTGGACTCCTCCTTCGCCACCCCTCCCTCATCCCTCACCTTCAAGCAACAACCGCCCCGTCACCGAAGATAGCTCTGTAAAAAAAAAAAATAAATTAAAACCATTTTGGTTAATTGCTTGACGAATAGCAAATCTGATCATGCCTGTACTTGTTTGAGATTGAGAGCATGCGTGTAATTTTTATAATTAAATTCATTTGATTCATCTTGTCAAAGAATGAAAAAATGGTGATGTATATATATATCATTAACCAGTCTAAATTGGCTTCTGTAAAGAATTCGTGCACTTGATTACTGATGGTGACGTTTTACATAGCTAAATTTCAAAATGGTCAATTTTTGAAATATTGGAAACCATTTAGGTGCTTCTATATTCATCATCCTCAATAAATTTTCATCAACTGGTTTATTAAGTTCAGAATTTCAAGTACAAGTACAAGTGGGAGGAAAGAAATGGTCTCTTTGATACTCATCTTTTTGTCTTCTTTAGGGGATTCAATAACAGACCTCTATCTCTGCAATTCTAGAAACTGCTCTTGATTTTAGTGTCAACATTTTCATCTTTACTCACTGCATTGCTTACCAATTCATCAATGTCTATCACAATTCATCTCCTTGCAATGGGCCTGTCACCAAAATGGGTTTTTTGTTTACAGAGCTATCTTCGGCGACGAGGCGGTATGATGTATATCTGTGTACTATATATGTGATGGAAGAGGAAGTGTAATGTATATGTGATGGAAAAAGAAAGCATCAGCGGTGGCAGTGGTGGGGTAATAAGAAGTAAGGTTTGTTACGGAGATTTTTGGAAGAGTAAGAGGGTAAAATGGGTATTATATTAATTAAGGGGTGTTTTTGCACAAATTGAAAAGAATAGGGGTGTTGTTTGCACACATTTTTAAATAGGGGATAAAAGTGTTACGAAAAGTATACTTCAGGGATGTTTTTTGCACTTGCCCTGTACAATATTAATGTGTAACGACCCGATCATTTGCCTTCCTTTCTTTTTTCCTGAAATTTTACGAATGAATTTTTTTCGTTTAATTTTCTTTTCTGAGCTCTGTTTCGTATCGCTTAGTGTCATCTCGAGTGCTCAGAATTGGTTTCTGAGACTCTTTCATGTGAATTGATAACTTCGTTTGAGGATCGAGTCATTTTCGCATTTTTCGTTTTTCGAACACTATGCGCTATTTCGTCTTTTTCCCTATTTCGTCTTATCTCCGTTTGTTAGTTTTTGGCACAACCTCACTTCTCATGCTCGAAGTTGGTTTTTGACTTCACGTACCTTCATCTTGAGTGGTTTTCTCGAAATACGTATCTTTACTTTTGCAAGAAAGTATTCTGGTTGTTCCCGATGCCCACAGGGGTATGGATTTACAATTCTTTAGAATCTTTTTCATTTCTTGGGGTGTTTTTCGTAAATATCTTTTGAAGATATTTTATTTCAGGGGCATCTAAGAAAATATCTTTTGGAAGATATTTTCATTCTGAGACAATTTCATAGTTAACCTTTTTTGTAGGGGCCATTGTGCAATTAACGAAAGTTATTGCAAAAATGTCTTGTCTGGAGTCTGGATCCTCGTACGGGATTCATTTTCACTTTTCATTGACTCGTAAATTCATAGAATTTCCTTCTGATCATTTTTCTCCAGTTTCAGAGTTTTTAGACTCGGTTGCCGCCGAACTTGTTCGGGGTATAACTTTTTGCTCAGGACTCAATTTTTGACGCCGTTTCTTCCGTTGTTCATATTTTCTTATTTTAAATCTTTTTTGTTCATAGAGTTTTGCCGTTTGAGCGCGTTTGCTCAAAATTCACTTTTCCGGACCTAGCGAGGCCCTTTCGGGGCACTTTTTGAGATTTCTATAAATATGTTGCCCTAATTTTTAAAATCAGATTTTCAGACCTTCTTCCTCCTCTTGGCTGGCAGCCATGGGAGCCCAAGTGGCTACCTTCACTCTTTCTTCTCCTCCACTTGATTTCCTTGGTAGAAATACTTCGGCCTTAGCATTTGTTGTTCGCCTCGTCGTGCTCTACCATTACCCCTTATTAGAAACCATTTTTGGCCAAATTTTGAGTTTGGGTTTGAGGCCAAGTTTGGATTTTCATGGGCTTCTTGAGGATTCATATAGATCGTGTTGTCCCCGACAAAACCCTTCAGTTTCGGCGGATTCGGAACACTTTTTTTCGGTGGGCCTTTGAGGTTTTCATCTCAAATTGAGGTAAGAGGTGTTATAGGTTTAATTCTTGTTATATAACATGTTATTGATGCTTATACAACTTGATTGCATGCTTAAATATGAAATCTAGAGATTTTATTATTTAATTTTCTTGTATTGGATTTGATTTTCCCGGTTGCTTATGACTTATTTTAAACATGTAGTATGGTAATATAATACTCTATAATATGGTCATTGACATATATTAAATTGAGGAAATTTGAACAAGTATTAAAGATTTTATTTAATATTTATCTTAGGTGAAAGATTAATTCACATGGCCTTAACTAGCTTAAAATCAATATGTGTTAGCATATTAAATTAAGCCTTAGCATGCTCTTCAACATAGTTGAATTTGAAAATGATTGGAGGTGTTTTGAAAGTTAGTAATTATTAATTAATTAATTTACCCCGAGTGCACTATTCACTCTATTTGAATTCCGACTTGATATTCTTGATTTACATGCCATATAGCTTCACATATATTTGATTTAGAATATTCGGTTAGGTTTTGAAACCTTTTATTTAATTAAATTTCATGTTTAAGATTTAATCCTCATGGTGATATATAACTTGGAATTGTATTGTGGCATGCTAGAAAATTAAGCTTAGGTATAGTTGTTCACATATATTAAATTGGGATTAATTGCATGAGAATTGTAACTTTTAATTTATATTTAACTTTAGTGAAAGTTTAATTTACATAGGTATAACTTGCATGAAATAAGCTTGTAATGTGATATTACATTAGTCCTTGGCATGTTCTCTAAGATATGTTAAATTGAGAGCATTTGGTTAAGTTTGAAAATCTAGAAATTTTAATTAAAAAAATTAATTAAAATCTATTTTGTGGTCCCATTAACTCAATTAAGATTTTAACTTGATATTTGTATTGGTCATGACTTGTTTACTAGTATATATTAATTGTGGACCATTTGAAGTTGTTTTAGAACCTTGGTAATAAAATTAGCATGATTTAATTAGAGTTCTACTTTGTTATTCCAATAACCTAATTGAGTTTTAGAATGGATATAGGTGATGACCATGCCATATTCTTTAATATGTATTAATTTGAGGTTATTTGGAATTGAATTAGAATCTAGGGAATTTAATTATTATTTTTATTTAATTAAATTCTATCGAATTGAGCCATGGATTTAATTGTGTTTGAAAGTCGTTTCTATATCAAAATCCTGGACATGGACTTGTTGTATATTCATTTGGTTATATTTTGAGTATTGGATAACATAGTTGCTATGTTTATACTCATGAGAATATGTTTTCCTTATTGAATATATTGTTGCCTTGTGTAATGATTTGCACATTTCGTATTTAACATCATTCATGCATAGCGTGTACCGAATCGCACACTGAAGATTCAACATTCATCA